GGGTACCGGATACCTGGTAGCCATTGCTACCTCAAGGGGGCAAAGGGGCCGGATTACAAACAGGGAGTGTGAAAGAGAACTTGGTATTTTCCACTTAACAAAAGCAGGGGTCACGCTCTTGTTTTATGCTTCCCACAAATGAGAGAATGGTTTTACCTTTAAGACTCGGAGCTTAACCTTCTCAATGGCGACCGCAGTTCTGGATGCCTCTCCTTGGAGGTGTGGGGAAAGCAATTGCTCGAAAGTGAATACTGCATTCTCCATTAACTAGAAACCAAAAGCGACACAGAACGACACCTGGTCAGAGGCCAGGGTCTCTGCCCTGGAGCAGGGAGGGGATGACCATCACAGTCCCCTCAGGCACTACTCTGGGGCCACCCAGAAGAACAGATCCTCACGCCCTCCACCTGGGCTGTGAAATAAATAGGCACCTGGCCACAGGGGGATCAGTAAGAGTCTAAGAAATAAGCACACACTCACACTCGCGTGTTGGCATGTATACGTGTATTTTTTCCCCTCCTCTCTTCTTATTCTCTGAGCTAGAAAACCTATGGAGGCCATGGGATTGAGAATACCATCCTCCCCTGTGGTCAACCCCTTTCTCCAGTCTCTGTACCTGCAGCCAGGCCTTGACAAAGTGAGGTGGGAAGCTTCTCCAGTGATTTTTTGGCTGCTTTAATCCTGCACTTCCACTCTTCGGTGGATGCAAACCACACCAGCACACCTCTCTCCACTTCCAGCCTACCACCTCACTTCTCTGCCTTTCTCTGACGGACTGGAAGGGAGGCAGGGCCAGGGCTTGGTGGGGAGAATGGCTGATGTGCTCAAGGGTCAGGAAACGGAAGCGATTGAGATTTCTTATTCTCCGCACGCGTGCCTGTATCAGCTTCACTGGGTTCAGCATCACCAAAGGGGCTTCTGTTAAACTGTTGCCCAGTTTTGTTCCTGGTCCATTTTTAATCCTTCACAACTCAGAGGTGAGATAATACGGTGTATCACTTAATCCATCCTGTAACTTTTAAGGACAAAAATGCTCCTTTCTTCCCCAAGCCTGTGATCTCAAAGCATGAACACATACCTTTGTTATAGCACTCTCAAACACTGTTAGTGACTTATCTAAGCATCTGTCTCTGAAGTGGGGTCTGGCACACTGTCCAGCCCCCTAGGGAGTTCCCCCAGAACACCTCTGAAGTAGAATTGGTCTTTTATGGCTTCAGTGATCACATCCTTTCTTCATTTAGAAAGCACTAGGGTATGAAAAGAATTTATAGTTGTTCCTGGAGAAAAAGTTCCTTATGGGGGAAAAAAGGTAGATCTATCAAGTAGATCCAAGAAATCCAAATAGGAAGCCATGATTGATTGATTTATTCATTGATTTACCCTTAACCAGGTTAGGGAATTAATTTAATCCAGTAGTTCTCCATTCTGGCTGCATATTAGAAGCAGTGGGCATAGGAGTAGGGGAAACCACCGGGAGTGGGGTCTAGACATCAGGACTTCTCAAAAGCTCTCCAGACGATTCAAATGTGCAGTCAAGGTTAAAAGCACTGGTTTGACAAATCAAGTAATTATCAGTTAATGCTACTTTATTTCCCTGAAATGTTTTTTTTTTTTCTTTCTTTCTTTCTGATGCTCATCCACATGGAAGAGAGATGAAGCCAGCGGGGAGGACAAAGTACATCCTCACACCACATGATGAAGAAATCGCGGAGAAATGGACCTCATGGCCCAGGGCGACACTAGCACACCGATCTCAGCAGCCAGCCCCAGTTTCTCTGCTGTCTCCATCCCCACCCCCCACGGAGGCCCCTGCTGCTCCCACCTCTTGCATGTAGTTCTGGGTCCTCTGGACCACCAGATCGACGTGGGGGAATCTGAAGCGGCTCTTGAGATCCTGCAGGCGTTCCTGGAGCAGGTTGACTTTACTATAACAAGGTTCCATCTTCACAGAATCCAGTGGAAGATTCATAAGCCGGTCTAGATGCTGCATTTTGGTGAAGGGAAAAGTTAAATACCTTCAGACTCAGGAGCAATTTTGCATGCATATTACATATTACATAAAGTCTAAACAATCAGATGTATATTATTAGAGTGAATCGCTTCTTAGGTCGCTATATCAATGACATTTCAATTGTCTTGCTTCCCTCCTTCAGGGGTCCCTGGGGCAGTTCTATCTATTGCTAGGGCAGGGACTAATAGAGGACCCGGCTGGAGGATGGAAGGACCCAGGGAAGCATTTGGGGGGCTCCAATCTTAGCTCTTGATGGACTCCAGGCTCCCACCTCCAGAACTCGAGAACTAGGCGGGCAGGCTCCCTGGCACCTGGAATTGCTGCTGGGCCCACACGCCTCCCAGGCCTTCTTTAATGAGTGCCATGCACTTACAAAACCTCAGAAAGGTCGGGATGTCCTCGCACCTGGGACCCTGGGAATGAAGCCAGAATCTCCCCAGTTCTCGGAGGTTCTGTCAGTGCCCACAGAGACTCCCTCTGCTGTAGGTTCTCTATGGTGCCAGTGGGTAAGGGGGTGGGTGGTAGGAAGAGGCCTGGCCTAGGAGAGGCATCCAGTTTAGAAACTGGGATCCCTCCCCTTCTGGCTTGCATGAGCAGTGACTTGGTCAGTGAGGCCATAGGGCTTCCAGCATGAGGGCAGCGACGGACCGCCTCCGCTAGAGACGTCAGGTTTTACCAACATGCTCTTACACCGCGACTGTTGTCAAGATAAAGCATCCTATTTTCCAAGCTTATTTTAAACTAATTTTTAAAATTGAATACTGGATTTCTAGAATAAGCAGGACGGTGGGTGGAGAAAGAGAAGATAGAAAGATATTGAAAATGTATGCTCAGGGAGAAGTGGGGAGTAATACTGAGTAACTGTGAGTAATATCGGATGTGCTTTCTGATTTTCAAGTCACAGAAAAGAGACAAATCTAGACTTCTAGGTGCCTCTAAATAGGAATTGTTAAAGGGCCCATTTTTTTGTGTGTTTTTAAAAAGAAAACGTTACTCTTGTTGAGAAGTGAGCTGTGAGAGCCTCACTGAAGTGGAGTGAATGAGCACACACGTGGGGTCAAACTTGTCCCTCCTCACATGATATGTACTGTATTTATTTTTAAGAAATAACAATTAAGCAGGCAGGAGAGGGAAAATGGGTTACTGCTTGGCTTCTATCAGACCCACCAAAGTTTATTTATTTTTTTTTAAACTTTTTTTTTTTTTAATTTTTTTTTTTCAACGTTTATTTATTTTGGGGACAGAGAGAGACAGAGCATGAACGGGGGAGGGGCAGAGAGAGAGGGAGACACAGAATCGGAAACAGGCTCCAGGCTCTGAGCCATCAGCCCAGAGCCCGACGCGGGGCTCGAACTCCCGGACCGCGAGATCGTGACCTGGCTGAAGTCGGACGCTTAACCGACTGCGCCACCCAGGCGCCCCTGGACCCACCAAAGTTTAAACAAGTGGTAATACCTATTGCTGATGGGCATATGGAAGAAAGTCCTCTGCCATACCCAATTGGTAGAAACGTAAAATTTAAATCCCTTTTTTTTTTTTGAAATGCAAATGGCAACATCTGTTAACAGGAGAAATAAACCTACCTTTCAACCTAGCAATCCTGCTTTAGGAATCTATCCCACAGGCATGAAAGCATCAGAGCATAATATATGTAACAAGGTTATTTATTGCAGCTTTGTCCATGATGCCAGCAACATTTGGATAGTTGAATAAATCATGGTACATTCATACGTGAAATATTATGTAGCCATTAAAAGAATGATTTAGAGCTAGAACGGCTAACTTGAAGACAGTTTCATGAGGTATGTTTGAATGAGAACACTGATAAACAGAGTAGGATCTGTAATATGATCCCATTTTTCTAACGAACAATCTGAAAAAACAGCCTGTAAATGTGTATGTTTTATATGATATAGAAACATGGGGAAAAGGACAGAATGGCATATGGTAAGATGTTAACACTAGTGACTTGTAGGGAGGTGGGTGGTGCCAGGGTACGAGGGAGAGTTAAGGCAAGGTTTAAAAAAGGCTGGAAAAATAAAATTCAAAATATTCATAAAATTTATCTTGTTTCTGTATAATTACATGCGTATGTATGCATAAAGATATAAGGGGGGAAAAAAGAGAGGTATCTGGTTTTATCCACTGACTGGTAGCGATGTGTCAAGAGTAAAACCAAGTTGCCACGTTATGTCTGTCAGTGATTCTTGAACTTCAGGGTGCATCACATCCTTGGGGGGCCCTTGTAAACCAGACTGCTGGGCCCTACCTCCCCTCTGCCCAAGTTTCTGGTTCAGTACAGAGTTGGTGGGGGGCTGAGAATTTGTGTTTTTAACAGCCAGGTGATAATGACGCTGCTGGTCCAGGGACCACACTTTGAGAAACATTGTTTTTATCATGAGTCTTATTACTGGAAACAAATCAACAAAAAAACTTTATATAAATGACGGTATATGCTTCTATATTTGTATGAACAAGAAAAAATTATGTGAAAACACATTCTAAGCTATTTATATCAGTTAATTCAGGGAGTCAGGAGTCGAGGTGGTGTAGGTGTTGGGGTGGGTATGGGTGATCAATTATGCTCATATATATGAGCATATTGCTTCACTTGTGCAAGCATATTATTATTCTTGCAACTTGAAAACCATTGATAAAGGAAATCAGGTGAATGGACTGATGGATGGGGTGGCTGGAGGAATGGAAGAACTAGATGAATGAGAGAAGGAAGGGAAGGAGAGGGAAAGAAGGAAGAAAGGAAAGAAAGCATGAATGCAGATAGAGCACCAAGGAAAAGGCAGCCCCATGCAGACCATTCACACTGAATTCCTTGGCTTCATATCTACCTCTTTTAGCTGGGCGTTGTCTTTGGTGGTCTGAAAGTTCTGGGTAAGTTCATCCACTTCTTTTTCAAAGAGTGAGCGTACTTCACTGAATCCTGAGCTCACTGGCCCCATGAGCTCCTCCAGGATGGACGCCAAGAATGGTTGAACACTCTCCACACAGCTTCTCTCTGCTGGCTCGGCCACCATTGCTGAGATAGGAAACAGCCAGAAAACCATCACTTGTTATAGGCAAAGTTGAGTTCAGAGTCACTGGAGCCAGGCCACGGCTGGGCAGTGCCCACAGAGCCATTTAACAGCCAAACCAAGCTCAAATGGGCAAGACAGACCAGCACAGGGAGTCCTGTGCCAGCATCACCAGAATGGAAAGCCATTAGATGCTTTCAGAATTGAAATAAACAGTCCCTCCTCTCCCCAAGCTTTCCCCTGCCCTGGGATGAAATGCATTTTTCTGCATGGTGCCTGTAAACCTAATGCATGCAATGCCTAATACAAAAAAGAAAACGCTGGTGACCCTCCTGTTTACTATCAATCATCATTATATGTGCATAGCTTGTCTTCTAAGAAACAGTTTACTAAGTTCATTTAATTGAGGTATAACTGACATCTAACACTATGCTAGTTTCAGTTGTACAACATAATGATTCAATGCTTGTATATAACAATTTATTAAGTTTTAATTAATTTCTCTAAGAGTTAATCAGCTCATATAATTCAATTCCCCTCCCCCTCCTCAAGAGACTTTTTAAAAATCAAGTACAGTCTTTTCTTGGGCAAACAGAAACAAATTGCATTAAAAACAAATGCCACCTACCTCTCATCCCCCATTTTTGTTAAAAGGCTATTTTCTTCCCCTGATAATCAAGGAAAACACGTGCAGAGACAAAAATATAGAGAGTGCAAAAAATTATAAAGAGGGAGGAAATAAATGTAACCATACTTCCCAGACTCAGTAAAGATGCTCATTTAGAAAGTCTGAATGGGACATGCAAAGCTCCATTTACTTATTTATTTATTTATTTTTAATTAAAAAATTTTCTTAAGTTTATTTTCTTTTTTTAAATATAATTTATTGTCAAATTGGCTAACATACAGTGAGTACAGTGTGCTCTTGGTTTTGGGGGTAGATTCCCGTGATTCATTGTGCTTATTTTCATTTTTGAAAGAGAGAAAGGGAGACAGTGTGTGAGCATGGGAGAGGCAGACAGAGAGGGAGACAGAATCCAAAGCAGGCTCCAGTCTCCGAGCTGTCAGCACAGAGCCCCATGCAGGGCCCGAACCCGCGAACCGCGAGATCATGACCTTGGCTGAAGTCGGATGCTCAACCGACTGAGCCACCCAGGTGCCCCCCAAAGCTGCATTTTTTTAAAGTCCTAAGGTGACTGCCAAGATTAGCCAGGTTTAAGAGCAGTGAACTCGTGAAGGAAGCCTGAGCTGGAAACGGCCTGAGTTCGTTCTGTAAACTGGAAGGCTAGCTTTGTGGCGCTGGTAAGTCTCATAGCCTTGTCATGTAGTATCTCAGAACTAAGTAGGGAAGTGTAAGTGCATATGGGTGTCCAATCCTTCCATCTTATAGGTGGACAGTCAGAGGCCTGGAGGTGCCAGATGGCTTGATGAAGGTCACACCCTAATTTGCACATTTGGGACTGCACTTCGAGGGTATTTCTTAATGTTTTATTGGCAATAACTTGCTTACAGTGAGATGAACGGCCACGTTATTTCAATCTGCAGAAATATTTCACAGTAATGGGGGATCAGACTGCCTCTTCTAAGAATCTGAGACGACCAGTACTATTAGTATTATGAATGATTCACAAATATTTGGTATATAAAATATTAACGAGTCTTAGAACTGCTAGGATAAAAAAAAAAACTTTTTGGTTATCTGATTTAAATATGAAACAATCTATGACTTCTACAAATGACTTGCTTGATACCAAAATGCAAAACTGTGTGTCAGGAGAATAAGTGAATGATTTATCAACTAACTTTGAGAGAAGAACTGTTTGAAAAGCATCTAATTGAAATTTCAGAATAATCACGAACACAGGCAGTATGCAGAAGAGATTTAGGGGTAGCTGGCCGGTTTCACCCACTGAGTGGGGAGGAAATGGGCACAGGGAGGGGCCGTGGAGAAACCTGTTCCTCTCTGCCTGATTCCCACTGATGCCTGCGCCGCCATGGGCTCTAGCCCCCTCCCTGCGCCTTTATTCAGTGTACCTTTCACCTTCTTTCCTCCACCTCTGCTTGTGAACGTCCCACTCACTTCCAGACCCAGTATAAACTTCACCCACTCAGACAGCCTAGAGCCCTGGAACCACCACACAGCTCCTGAACTGTGGTCTGTCTGCCAGTGTTTCCTTAGGGATTGGAATAAATTTTACACCCCACACGGATACGCTCTGCTGATTTTCAAGGACGTAGAGGCGCTGTTGTAATGAATACTGTCCGGTGACACAATGATTCATAAACCATCCAGAAGTTAGGGCAGCTGTGGAGAAGCCACTGAGCGGAGAGATTAAGGCAAAAAGTGCCAGAGTTTGAGGGGTTTGAAGCCTGACTCTGTTTTGTTATCTGGGGCAAGTTACCTAATCTCTGGCTCAGTTGTCTCATCTGGTAGGTGGAGATCATAAGACTAATTACTTCTGAGTTTACTCTGTTCAAAATGCTTCGAAGCGTGTGTGGAGCTCTGGAAACCCTCACTCACTGTTAGCCCTCATCACACCTGTTGGCATCATCCTTTTTTCCAATCAACCCACACTAAAACAGCACTGTTGTTATGAGAGGCCCACATGGGTTTTGAAGTTGAAATCGTTGCTGTTTATGAACCACTGTGCCCTCTGTTCCTGCTGCTCTTGTGGCATCTACCACCTTTTTTCCTGCTGTTTCAGTATCTGTAACATGCCTCCTCTCCTCCTTTTGTAAAATCGCATTGTCTTCTTTATATCCTCATAGCCTTTGTATTCAGTAGGAGCAGAATACATGCTTATTTTTTTTTAATTTTTAATGTTTATTTATTTTTGAGAGAGAGAGAGAGAGAGACTGTGAGTAAGGGAGGAGCAGAGGGAGAAGGAGACACAGGATCGGAAGCAGGCTCCAGACTCTGAGCTGTCGGCACAGAGTCTGACACGGGGCTCGAACCCACGAACCACGAGATCATGACCTGAGCCAAAGTAGGATGCTTAACCGACTGAGCCACCCAGGTGCCCAGAATAAATGCTTATTGAATGAATAAATAATTGTGGGGCAGAATGAAAGATTGGTTGTTTTACTCTCAAGAATCATGTGGGAGGAAATGGGAAGAACAGGACTTAATACTCCCAAAGTTTTCTCGAAATACAAAGCCCTTTATTGACACAGGCTGAGGTATACAGTCAGCCCCTGAACAATGCAAAGCTTAGGGGCGCTGACCCCCCTGTATAGTTGAAAATCTGTGTATAACTTTTGACTCCTCCAGAACTCAGCTGGGTCCTAAGAGCCTACTGCTGACTGGAAGTCTCACCTATAACATACACAGTCAACGAACACATACTTTCTATGTCATCTGTATTACATACTGTATTCTTGCAATAAACGGAGCCAGAGAAAACAAAAGTTATTAAGAAAATCATTAGGAAAGGGAAATATATTTACAGTACTGTACTGTACTATAAGTGGATCTGTGCAGCTCAAACACCTGTTGTTCAAGGCTCAACTCCACTCATTATTTTAATGGCAGAGAACCAGAGGCCTGGTCAAAATGTGTTTCTTATACTGCCTTTTAAAAAGACTTGATCGTGACTTCCTTTCAAGGTATCTTTTAGGAAACAAAGACTAGTCTAGAACAGAATGTTTTTCCATCTTATGTGGGTTATACTGGAGCCACAGAGACCAGGCAAGAGTGAAAGGGAGAGGTTGGTTTAATTTGGGCCATGAGAATCGCCATGGTTAGGTCCAGCTCAGCCCAGCTGCCAGGAATATGGACTCAGGAGTTGGGTGCCGGCAGTTTTAGGTTGAATACGGTACTTCGATACACAGTCTATTCTAGATCAGTTGTGCTAAGGGAGGAATGAGAGATGTGGATAATAATACACACAAAACGCTGTGAATTTATATCTGCCTGGGAAGGCAGTGCATGAACAGACACGCACATCTTTGCTGTAGTTATGCCTCCACCATTCTACTCTCTCAGAAGAATCAGCTAGGAGGGTGCTGAGGTGAGCTGGGCTGCAGTGGGAACAGGGCCTGAAGTGCAGAGGATAATGTCCCTATTAGATTCTAAGTGTCTTGAAAGCAGGAGCTGGGTCCCCTGTTCACTGCTAAAGCTCTGGCACCTTGCTCAGAAAGCACGTAGTATGTTTTTAATGAATGAGTAAGTAAATGGGCAAGTGAATGAATAATCTAAAAACTAACAATATAAGAAAATTGCTGATAAATAATCACAGATTTGCATGCACGCTTCTGTCAAATGACATTGGGTGTGGCGCACTTCTGGAGATGTAGGAACGGAGAACCTCAGCATTTTACCCTGTAGAATTCCTTAGAGGCCATTTCAGGCCTCTTGTGAGGGCACAGGCAAATATTTTTCTCTTAATGGCCAGGTAGAGAACATTAGAGACTTTGCAGCCCAGAAAGTCTCCGTTCCAACTACTCAACTCTGCCCTTGTAGTATGAAAGCAGCCATAGACAACACATACATGAATGGGCACGGCTGTGTTCTGATGAAATGTTATTTACAAAAATAGATGGTGGGCCCGATTTGGACCAAGGGCCACAGTTTGCAGACCCCACTCTTGTGGGCACTCCTGATTACAGAGGAGGACACTAAGGCACATGGAAGTCAAGTGACCTTCCCAAGGACACATGACAGGCCAATGTTGCACTCGTGACTAGAATCTTGATTTATCAACTCTAAGTCAACTTTTTTTTCTTGTTGAGGGAAAATCCATTTATTCATCCATTCAAGTATTTGCTGAGAGTCTGCATATCCCAGGCATGGTACTAGCCCCTGGGTGTGCCTGAGTAAACCAGGGATCACATGGCCCTGTTCTTAGCTTACAGCAGAGAAGGGCAGAGGTAGAAGCCATTACAATCAGTGTAAGAAGTGCTACAGGGGCACCTGGGTGGCTCAGTTAAGCGTCCAGTTAAGCGTCCAGCTTTAGCTCAGGTCATGATCCCACATTTGTGAGTTTGAGCCCCACATCGGGCTTTCTGTTCTCAGCGCAGAGCCGGCTTCAGATCCTCTGTCTTCCTCTCGCTCTGCCCCTCCCCCACTCTCGCACACGCACGCACATGTGCTCTCTGTCTCTGTCTCTCTCAAAAATAAATGAACAAATTAAAAAAAACAAAGAAGAAGTGCTACAGCAGGGAGGTGTGGGCAGTATCAGAATATACAGGCACCACCCCGGGCAAGAAGCAAACTTTCCTCCACCTTGTGTCCCTGAAGTTTCCTTGGGAAGGGCCAGGCCCTCACTAGCACCGCTAGCATACTCCTATTACACCTGTTAGCACCTCTTCCCAATTCCCTCAATTTAGTTTTCCTCTGAAATCATGTATTCTGACGACACGGTGGAGCCCTACACACAGCTTATTTAGCACACAGGAGCATGGATGATCTCCACTGACCTTTGATCTTTCCAATTAAGAAGTTCTTTGAGTTCACGATCTGATCCATGTCTGAACGGATGGTTCCTTCTAGGTTCTTCGTCAGAGTTCTGCATTCCTCCTTCAAGGCACTTAATCCTTCTGAAACCTGATGCCGAACCAGTTTGTAGGCCTCCTCAAGGAGCTGCAACAGAGAACAGCACATAAATCTGGGCTCGGTCACATGCAAGCGACTGCTGGAGTCAAGT